GGCTTCTGCTGGGTACAGAAAGGGCATAGTATCAGGCAAAATAGTGTATCATTAGTAATCGACATATTAAATACTTAATGAAGATATACCAAGGCTGTGAAAAGGTGAAAATCGGTATAGGCATACTGTTTAGCTACTAATATTGTTTGAAGACTGAGAATTTGTGAGCATTGTGAAAATTTCTGTTTTTAAAGTGGTAATATGTTTAATATCTGCACTAGCTTAATGCCATAGCCAGAAAAGGAGGAGAAGGTGAGAGAGATACTAAAAGATGTTATCAGATGAGACTGAAAATAAGATGGAGCCATGATTAGTGGAGAAAATCTGCAGGCTGGAGGAACTGCAAAATATTAGGGTCCTTTAAAATATAAGTTACAACTGTATGATTTTAAAAATAGATCAACCTGTCTAAGTATGGTAGCTTAGCCTGCTAAAAAAAATGACTTTGGAGTAGCAAAGGAATTGTTTTGTGTTGCTTTAATGATGCTGTTAAACTCTGTAATGTCTAGACATAACAGTGCTAATTTTGTTTTCACTGAATGTAACCAACAGACAAATCACATCCTTAGAGAGTATTAAAATTGTTCAAAACTTTTGATTTTTAGTTCAATTATATTATAGCATATTTTATTATATGCTATTATATAGCGTATTATATTTTTCTCACAGAGCATATCATCTTGAGGCAAAACAAAATAGGGCCAAAGGTTTGTATTTAGATGTATGTATATAAACAAATCACCTCATTTACTTTGTTGAGACCTTTGTGCCCCGTGAATACTGACAGTCGTCAGCCAGGACTAATTTCATTGTGCTCATTTATTCATATAATATAACCACACAAACTTGTGGGTTATGATATGAAGTACTCTTTCTTAGTGGAGTTCAGAAACTAATTTGTAATTCATTACGAACCACCGTTTGCAATATTGCTGACAAAACAAGGCACGTTGCGCTTACATTCTAAAAACGTCTTAAGATGGAGTATTTTGACAACCAATTTAATGCTAGATCAGCAGTAATGCTATCTAAGAATTTTTGTGCTTTATTTTGCAGGGCTAGCATGTGTGTTATAGATTATCTGCTAGTCCTGTTTTTTTCCTGCTATTCTGTAGTGTTGTTTCCTTATATAGTCTCTTTTAAAATCTTGTTTTTAAAATTTCATAAATAACTAGGAGGAGAAAAATAATGAGGAAAAATGTCTTTCCAGTGACACAGATATTTAAGTTACTTGACATCTAAAGCAAATCTAAATTAGTAGTTCTTAATAACTGTTTAATTCCTGCAGCAGATGAGGAATGCATCAGATTTCTTCTTGAGCTTCTTGTTGATATTCTATTTTATTAGAGCAATTTTATTAGCATTAAAACTTAGTAGCATATTCATAAAACAAAGGCGCTCTCTAATGCAAGTCTGATAATGTCGTGCTTCTGCAAATTTCCATTTTGATAATGGAACAGCAGAAATGAGAACTCCTCTATTTTACTTTCCTTGGTGTCTGCCACCATTGAGCACGCTGTTGGCAATTACTGGGAAACTTGCAACATGTTCTGTATAGATGTGGCACTGATTTCCCAGTATTGTACTACGAAAGCTTAGAACGTGTTGCAGAAGTTTTATTATCATGGAAAAATATAGAGAGCTAAAATCCAGGGCTTGTTTAAGGAGCGTATTACTAGGCCATTGGGAAGAGACATGACATGTAATAAGAAAGGGTAGGGTCTGCACTTGCTGCACACAACGTAATCTGTGATCTTCCAAAGCTTTGCTTGCTTGGACAGCTCCATATTTTCACATAATAGATATGGATTACTGAAGCGCTACAGTGATAGAGCAGTACACTTGTGACATTAGGAGCTCCTTTCACAGCTCTCTTTCCCCATGGTGCTGGGGGAAAGTCTACTCTGTTGCAGGTCTGTGTTTGTTTTGGGTGAAGGACAGACTTTCCTTTGCGGTGAGAACCCATGTGGTAGATTTTTCTGATGGGTAAAACTGTGACTTTTTCTTCTTAGTTGTCTTCTTTGTATAGCAAGGTTTCATCCTCTTGAAATATTTTTAGGCTGCAGAGAGAAGGAAATACATAATTTTTTTCTGGCATTTTGGTTAAAGTGTTTGGGGAGTGGAGGATTTTCCAGTCTATATCCATCTTTATTAAATTCCCAACTAGCTGCAGCACAAAGGTCTGTTAAGGTCATTCTCCTAAAGAGGGAATGATAGGGCTTATTTATTATGACCTTCTAATGTGTATTCAGATCAGGAACAACATGAATAGCCTTTCTTATCCTATTTTTCATATATTCAGGAAATATAACAGTTGAGGAAGGAGGACTAGGGAGCAGTTGTGAGCACATCAATCAGCAAATAGAATTAATTTCCATGAAGAAGGCACTGCAGTGTATTTCATATATTTTTCCTATATCTTAAGAAGCAGTACGTTATGTAAACAAAGTTCAGTTCTAAACATTGTTATCCTGAAATACTGCTCATGAGTCTTTCCATTTTGATCAGGTTTTTCCCCAACTGATAACTTTAACAAAGGTCTGAGATTCAAATAAGTGGCAAATGGTGCAGTAGGTCTCTGTATTATGTGAAAGTGCCTTAGCATAGTCCTAGGGCTGCTAGTTTATGGTGATACGAAAGAATGGTATTTCATTTTACAAGAAATAAAGGAATCATTTCCCCGGGACAGAACAAGGGAAGAGCTGGGAGAAGGCAGATATTGAAATCTTCCTTCCTGTGAACCTTTACCCCAAGTTGGATTGATCTTTCTTTTCCTTTCTTCTTCCTCTCTCTCAGTTGTCAACTGTAGAGAAAAGCATACTTCACTGTTATTCCCAAAAGTATAATTGCATTAAGGAAGTTAAGCTAGGAAGACTTGCAAAGTGCTGGGGAAGCTGGAGTACTCTACAAAGGAAGTACTAGAGCATGATGTAAGATGCAGTGGTAAAAAAACTTCTCTTAAGAAAAAGCAGAAGATAATGTAGGTGTAACTCTTGATCTCTAAATTTAATGTAGAATATTTGTAAAAATCTGGCAGTTTCCTGAAAATGCCTTGGGGTAGACATTTCAAATATTTTTTTATATCAGTGTATTAGATGTTAAGTATTTAGGAATGAAATGGGTCTTTGAATACACTATGAGATGCTTTGTGTTCTAAGCAATAAGTTTGGATCAGAGTTGTAGTTCAGATTGTGCTGCCTTGAAGGGAATCTCCTGACCAGCTCTGGGATTGTGATGTAGCTCACCTTGGGGACAGCCCTTGGCCTTTGTTCCTTGTAAATGAAACGAAACCAGAAGTGGAGCCAACGTGCTCCAACTGCTGGTGGGCACACGGCCTTGGGACAAGGCTACACCTCGTATGAAGTAACCCTTCCCTAAAACACCCATGCTGTGGATATTGGACCCTCTGCACTGACTGTTTCCCTCCATAAATCTCTTCCCATTGCGCTGCACTTCTTGCTAATGTAGACATAGCTGAGTTCAGTGTGGAGCTAATATTGATCTCCTCAGTTAGCCAGATCAGACAAAACATCCTGTGGGAGAATCAAATGAAAATAGTGGGTGATTAGTAAAATCTTGAGAGGCTGCATGCAAATCCCTTAGATGAGGTCAGGTGAAAGAAATAGTGAGACATGCAGAAATAACAATTTGGATTGGCAAGGAAAAGAAAGGTCCTTAGTCAAAAGGGAAAAGATTCCCTCCTTCACCCTCTGCAAATATATATTCCTATATATATTCCTACACAGACATGTGTACACACACACACACACACACACACACACACACACACTTAGGTGACACTAAGGCTGTATGTGTCAAATAGGGTGTATGTAGTTTACCTTGTTCTTCCTGGATTCGTTTTCTTTCGTCTTATGGAACTGAACTGCAGCATTGAAAGGTCAGATATGCACCTACTCTGGTGTGTAGGAAGCAGTGACTGTATGTCAACAGGAGCAAAAGCTCTTCATCCTTCTTGGGATGTAGATTGTGAAATCAGCTCAGCTGATTTGTGAAACGTCATCCTCATCCTTGCTTTAGGTGTACCGTAACTCCAAAAGCTGGGTATGTAAAAATGAAATTGAGACATTGTTATGCCGCTCTAACAACTTATTGGGAATAGGTATAGCGCCTATTTAAATCCATGCCAGATCAGCCCTATCTTTGGTGTGCAGATTAGAATACTGTTGTTACTGACGTCACACTGTAGTAACAGAAAGTGACATTTGTTCATTGACTCGAGGCTTTATTAAAAGTCGTTCATTAACAATTAATTATGATATTGCATGAGCCAAGGGAGAATCTCTCTTACTCTCATCCTTTTCTAGTCTGACAGCTGTCTTGGGTCTCTGCTGCAAAAGGAATAAAACGTAAAAGCATTCTTTTTAGTGAAGCATCTGCTGAGGACTGTGTCCCCGTTGTGTATTCAAAGTTGCTGAATATGAAGTTGCTTTTTTGTTTTGAGAAGAAAAGTGCACTGTGAGGAAAGATGTTTTTGTCTTTGGGTGTTTTTTTTTTTCCCTTCATTTGAAATTTTCATTTTTCCTCTGAAAAGTAATTTGGATAGGAACGTTTTGACCAGCCCTCAGACAAAACCATTTAAAAATTATTATTATTTTTAATCTTATTCAGATCATTGTGTTTCAAGCTTGTAAATGTCTGTGTGACCTGGTCTAAATGTAGCCTCTTATTGTTGGGTCTGTAGGATTACGAGGAGTCAGGACAGGTGCAGAGAGTTGCATGGGGACTTTTCATTTGTTATGGTGGCTCTTATTCCTTGGGGACAGAAATAACCCTCTTAATCATTTTATATGTATCTGTAAATCATGGCTGCCATTATTTTGCATTGTTTGCACACACAGAGAGATGAAACACAAAATATTGATAGCCATGATTTAAACGTTTTTGGCAGGTTTTTGTTTTATTGAATTTGTGACTGTGTGCGCATGTGTGTGCAAGAATATTAGGTGCATATAGAATATATTTTATTTATATTTCTATAGTTAAAACAGAACCAATGAGCAGCAGTGAGATTGCTACTACTACTACCACAGACGGGTCTTTAGACAATTTCTCAGGATCAGGTAAGGAATAAACAAAGGTTTTACACTCAGCAATTTTTCATTTAATATTTTCTTTTCCCATATGGTCTAAACTTGTGCACAGCTGTTAAAAAGTTTTGTGCACTTTGCAGCTTATGCCTGTTTCTGCTCATCTTATTCAAGTAGTGCAAGTCAGTAAGTTTTCCCTGATAAAGGAACAGAGAGTATCATGCTTATTGATGTCCACTGTGTTTTCATTCAGAGTCTCACTGGGGAGCTGGGGAGTATTCTGGCCCAAAGTAATTACTCTTTTGTTTTCTGTGAGTAAACATATCTACCTCTGTGATTTGTGTTGTAATTGAGGTGAAGATCTTCTTCTTTTGTTGTAAGTTGTTATTATCAAGGTATTTTTTGTCAGTCTTTTTGGGTTTTTTTTTTTTTTGTTGCTGGAAGCCAAACAATCGTAGCTGCTAACATACATGAGACAAATACTGCGAGAAATTTTGCATACCTACAGATTAACTGTGGTATTTCTAGCACGTTTTTTTTATGGCACAAATCAAATAAAAAAAAGGGAATAATATGTAGTGGGATTACACTTCCAGAGTAGCAAAATTTGACGTCTCCCAACCGGTAAGGTTCCAAGTAGCCAACCTTTTTCTGATCTTGAGAGATGTTCTCCATTTTCTGTGTACGCAGTTGAGTATGAAAGTATCAAAATTTAAAGATAAACGAGGTTTCTAGAATATTTTAAATCTCTAAAAGGAGAGGAGGTAGTATGATTAATAGTAGCTACATAGGTCTGTGGTGATGTGACTAAAGCCTGGGCCATGACACTTGAAATATCTACAGCCTCAGAGGCCACGAAAAAAAGAATTCAAGCGTGGAAGGACTAGAGAGAGTTTCTCTGCTTTACTCCACACTTCCCGAGTGCTCCGAGAGTGTAAAGATGATGGATTTTCCCTGTAGTTGGCCAGGAAAGGGGTAGCTGGCAAAGGGTAATTATCCGTGCCTTGTTTATTTCCAAGTACTTAGCAATAGGGCCTGTTGTTTCTCTGGCTGTCTGATTTTTACAGTAGCCTCATAACCTGCAAGTGACCTCTTCCTGGCAAAGGCTTCAATATTAACCTCGGGACATAGTGGAGAAAAGGCAACCAAATGGTAATCAGAGAGGAAAATGCCATCTGTATGGAGCTCCTGAAAATAATGATGAGAGCAGAGCACATAAGCGCATCTGACGCACGCTCTCGTCAGCATCCATAAATACTGGAAGAGTTTCATATGGGTTTACGTAAAACTGTGTTAGCGGTGACTGCTTTTAGGGAACCCTTAATGTCTGAAGAGAGGTTAACTACTTAGCCTCGTAGGTATGAAGCGTTTCACTAAGAAAATTTGCACTTTTATCGTGACATCTTTAGATAATATTGAGTGTTTTGAAGGTCTGAAAGCATTTTAGAAGTAAGTAGATAACACGGGGAAAAAGAGGAGGAGGTGCAATATGGTAACGCATCTTATGCATTATGGAATTATTTTTAAAAGAGGCAATGCTCTGAAGCTGACCATGTGTTTTCAATAGAGGCATGCATAAAGCTCCTTCATAAAATGTAGGTCTTAAAAATTCTAAAAGTTCATAAAATGTTGCACTTGAGATATCAGAATCCTTTGAAAATATGAAGGAAAATGTTTCCATTAGGAAATAGATTGTTTGCATTGAAAATGTTGTCTGTGTGCAAGCAAAGAATCAACTATTGCTCTGGAATTGTACAAAGGGGCAATTTAGTATTTGAAATTTGTAATCACGATTTTAATGGTAAGCATTCTTGCATAGTTCCTGATAAAATATTATTTTCCACCTCAGGTATCAATGATATTTGAATTTAATTAAAGTCTTGTTAATATTCTGAAATTCTATTAGGAAAAAAAATATTTATCTTTGGTGTGTGTATTTACACTTCTGTGTGCTTTCTTTTCTCCTTGGTGCAGCAATTGGAAGCAGTGGTTTCAGCCCAAGACAAACACACCAGTTCTCCCCACCACAGATTTACCCTTCCAAGTATGATATCTTTTAAAAATAATAATAATAGTAGTAATAATAATAACTGAAATAGGCAGATTTTAACCTCATTTAAAATAATAATTGGGTCCATCTGTTAAGTCATAATTTAAACCGCAGCAGCTTCTAGGAAAAAAGATGTATATTTTTTTTAATGCTAAGAATGTATTTGAAAAAAAATATTTGGAAAAGTCCTTATTTTACTTATTCTTTTATAATGGATTTATTATTATTGTTTTGTCTTTGTCTTACAGTTTCTGTTCTCTAGTGCAGCCTGCGATTATGTGTTAATGAAGTAGCAGGACTATAATAAGGCTAAAAATAAGTACTTGCATGTCTGTCTAATGCAGTGTCTGTCCTATTTTCTGTCATTTGTAATCAATAGCAGACCATACCCACATATTCTTCCTACCCCCTCTTCACAAACGATGGCTGCATATGGGCAGACACAGTTTACAACAGGGATGCAGCAAGCTACTGCTTACGCCACCTACCCGCAGCCAGGCCAGCCTTATGGAATCCCTTCGTATGGTAAGAAACCACATCCGTATTATTATATTCCTGAGGTAAATGGGTTATTTTTTTTTTTTTTTGGAAGAAGATTACATGGCCCTCATGTCAGCGTTTAGTGGGACAGCTGTGCTCTTGAACGTTTATCGTGGAAAAGTGGTATATAGTTTTCGAATTGGAGTGAGTGCAGCTTAATTTGTGTGATAAAGAACAAAGAAGCTGCTCGGGAGGATCTGCTCTGTTCTGGTTAAACAGATGGATCAAGGGGAGAAATTCCTCAGGCTTTTACTGGTGATACAAAAAAGCAGCACTGAAATGGAGAAGGAGATCTAGGGACTTCCATTGCACTGGCACAACTCCTGGTAATTCCCAAGGAGTCGTGCTTGCCAGCATTGTAATAGGGTAAGTTGGTAAATAAAGGTCTGAATTTCAGCTGACCTAGATTATTATAAGATAAATGAATCGGTGAAGCTGCAGTGATTTTGATGGTATGAAGACCTGATTCCGAAGACCTCCCCCCGCCCCCAAAATCCCACTCGCAATGCTTCAGAACTCCCTGGAGGTGAAAACTGAGGCAAATTGCCACTAAAGCTCTGTCTGTGTGATGAAGAAGATAATACTAAGCAACAAATCTTTCCAAAAAATTTAATTTAAAAACAAGCTGCTGTGGGTGAGACCATTTTGCTGCCAGACTGTCTGCTGGCAGACCACATAGCAGTTCGGCAGCGAAGATGCATTATTAGAAAATAGGTCTTATATTCCTCTGGGGGAATATATTGGAAATATATGATCCACATGCTTTTAGCAGCATATTTTGTAAAAATACATTCAGGTAATGTAAGTTATATACCAAGAGGACAGAACTCACAGTGTAGGCCTGTGCTCCTTAAAATTATTAAAAAGTCAAAGTACAAGACTGGTGAATCTTTCATCTTGAGTCTGCAAGTTGAAATCCACAGGGGCATAAGCATATGTTACAGCAAATTACTGTGGGTGCTAGGTAGAATAAATAGATTATTGTTTTCCCTGACTTTACAAAATATATGTTTCATTACTATATTGTCAATAATTATAACCCAAAGTAACATTCCTCCTATGGCTTCTATCTTGATTGCTTACTGCCGGAAATTATAAACATGAATTGGATGTCTCAGTTCCATTCCACATATTTTAAACTTACACAAACAAAATAGTTTAAAATTATTTAAAGTACATTTTCAAGACAAAGAAGATGGAGGTTCTCTCCCCCCATAAAAGAAAGTTTACGTTTCTGATGAGTACTTATCTTTTTTTTTTTTTCTTTTTTCCCCCCAGCTGTATCAGGTGGTCTCATGACAGACAATACCTCTCCCTACAATGCTTTTCTTGACACGTTTCTCCTGCAGACACCTCGCATTCATATTTGGCTGTCTGGTGGCTTGGCCAGCCCAAACAGTGACTTTTTTGTTTTTGCTTGGTTCCTCTGGATGAAATCCTGACCTCACTGAAGTCAACTACAAAACTCCCACTGACTTCAGTAGGGCCTTGATTTCACTAGTTCAGCGTAGCTGTCTCCCTGTCGTCGGGGCTATAATTGAGAGTTGCTTTACTTGGCAGTTGCTAGCTGGGGGTTAACATGCCTGCCTGCTCTTTTGTTTTGTTTTGTTTTGATTTTCTACCCAGTCCATCCCCTGTGCCTAAGACTGTGGATAATTTTGTCTTAATGTTTTACATTGCAGGGTTGCTTTTGCTGCTGAAGTCAAATAGGTTTTTATGCATTTTGTTCTTTTCAGACAGAGCCTCATGACAGGGGCTAAGGTGCTTCTTGCTGCTGTACTTTAACATCTAGCAGTGATATTTAAAAGCAAATAACTTTTTAAAAGCTTTAGGAGCTACCACCATATATATTTTTGCGCATGTAAGGCTCATCATATAATCTGTGTTCCTGAAATAAATTGCATGGGAAACAGTGGGACCCTCATTTGCACAAGGCAAGAAGTGGAACCTCGTTTAGAGTCAAAATTCTCCTCTTGGATCTGCAGCACAGATCTCATGTATCATATGTTTTGCCTTTCTCTCTTCCAGGTAGAAAGGTTCCAGCATGTATAAAGAGAGGAGACTTATGTGAAAGGAAACACTTTGAATCGGAGTGGGAGGATTCATTTGCTTTTGTGTCTTGACTCTGGGACTTAGTGGGGGGGGCAAGGGGGAATAGTCCTTTTAAGAAAAAAAAAAGGGGGAGGGGGGAACTTTGATGTCACCTGTAATTCCACATTCACCTATCAACCTCCCTAAAGTTTTTTTCTTTAGGACAGAATTTGGGAAGGTGCTGTTTTGAATGCATCTAGTCTGTTCGTTTTTCCACTCCTACACCTCGACCATGCTGAAGTCGTGACCGCAGGAAAGGGGGTGGAGGGGAATGCCAGGGACAGCTGCCTGCCAGGGCGCCCCGGCTCTGCTTCATCTGCAAAGCCTGCTGAGGAGGCTGGAGAATTTCCTGAAGCTCCTTCCTTCTGCCCGCTCCCATAGGAGCCTCGTAAAGGCTTTGTTTACCAGCTTCTTCTCCCTCTAGATATTGGCAGTCCCATTAGGGTTTCTCACACTGTCCCTTCCTGCTCCTTTGCATGTATTAGGGCTGGTTTAGAAAGAGGAGGAGGAGGGAGCATCGGGATTTAGTGAGTGAAGGCCTTGTAGAGGAGAGCAGGTGAGCAGAGCATGTCTCCAGAGATGAAAGGCTCCTCACAGCTTGGAGGATGGTGGAAGGGCACATCCGTGCCGAGTTGTCTTCACTCAAGTGGCATCCTCCTGCCACTGCCTTTGATCGTCTCCCCTCGCTTTATCTGAGATTGAGAGTTGAATCAGACTGTTAAAGCTGGGCTAGAACTTTTAAAACTTAATTTAGTTAAATTTTATCTAAGTAATATTTAACCAGCAATTCAGAGGTCCTTAAACAGACAACAAATGGGAATAGTTGATACTAAAACATCCATAGCAGGAGTTTCCCACTGGAAATGAGGTGTCAGATTCGTCACCGTGACTGCTTAATTGCAACATGAAATAGAAGAGGAAAGTAAGCACCAGGGAAAAACAAGCAAACAGGGTTAGTCTGGCAGTTAGTGAGCGTGGCAGAAGGAATTAAGGATAATTAATGACCCCAGTTGGAAAATAATCATTTAAATGCCACAAGAAAATATGCTGCCATTTGTGTACAGGGAGATACGGAAGTTTCACAAACACAGTAACTTCTCAGCCCTCTCCCACCTTCAAACATTGTAGAAGATTGTTTTTCAAAAAAAAAAAAATCCCACCAGGAAATGAACTTATTTTCAAAGGAATGTTACTAATTCACACTTAGTCAACTCAGTTCAAATAATGCTGGTTTCTGAACAGTGAGGTATCACTGAACACCACAATGAAACACAAGTGTTATGTTACTTTTGCATTTCTCTGGCTATCCTTTTTTTTTTTTTTTTTAAAGGCATTCAAGTGATAGTTCATGTTGGGACATTGTTATTAATAACAAACTAAATGACAGAGGCTGAATTGTGTGCATTTCCTCACGTGACACTTGCTGATATTTACTTGCTTATTTGTTTACAAATTTATGCAAGAATCACTGAAGTTGGGAAGCAAGTCGTTCGTGAAATTGGCCTTTGGATTATTTTCTCATTGAATTTGGAAATGAGGAGGTGGTGTGTAATGGATTTCCTTGTCAGTGCAGATTAATGAAACTGCTATGTTTTTCCCAGTTTGGGAGATTACTTCAGGAGTATTTCATGTCTATATGTGTTTATTTGTTAAAAGATCGAACGTATTCTATAATTTTTAATTAGCTTTGAAAATCCACATTGCGCTTTACGCAGATAGTTCTTTTTATCCGCTTTTAAAGAGGTGCTTAATTCTTCAGACTGCCATGGAACTTGGAGCCATGTAATTTTGATGCAGGAGTATTATACAATGCAAATCTCAGTTATGTCATTAATGGGTGGATGGCAGGAGAGTTTGGCTATGTTATGCTTCATTAAAATCATATAAAGTTGCTAATCTACCTCTGTGAAATGTCATGAATATATGGAAAAGTTAGCCTCTGGCAGGAAAGGAAAAAAGGAATAATGCAACTTCCTGTTCATGTATAAATTTCTTTTGCAGTTATTGGAAACACAGTTTTGAATTTAACCTCTCCCTGGTGAACTTCAGTTTTATGTGTACTTTTAGACGGCCTTTTCCCCATCTATTCGTATATGCTCTCAATATTCCTTCTGTCATGCATGCAGTAGTTAAAAGTGCTGCTAATGAAGTGATTTTGTTTTCCAACCCTGTTTGAATATGAACAAATAGATTTGCTGTCACTAACTGATTTAGGTGCATTGTGGGCAGGCATCAAGACAGAAGGTGGATTGTCACAGTCACAGTCACCTGGACAGACAGGATTTCTAAGCTATGGTGCAAGCTTTAGCACACCTCAACCTGGACAGGCTCCCTATAGCTACCAGATGCAAGGTCTGTATAAATAGATACTACCATTAATTAGTAGCTAATACTATGTGGGTTTTGTTTTTCCTAATTTCTTTACATTCCTAGAATAAAAATGAATGTTTGCTTGAGCCTTGGCTTACCTCTGATGCTATTGCAGCTGGAGCTGAAACCATGATTGCCTTCGCTGAGAGCGGCGACAGGCCAGCTCTCAGCAGTGTGCAAGATCCCGCACTTCGAGACTTCATTAGTTTTTTAATATTGAAGTGTTTTAGTGTTATTAAAGTAAAAACTATTTCTCCAAATAGCAGTAGTTTAAAAAATAATGAATGTGACAAAGTGAGTCGTGGAAAACGTGTCAGGATTATGAATTTAGGACGTGCCAAATATAATTTGACACCAAAGTGTGTTTGGGGAGGGAAAATAAGATAAAAATACCTACTGCAGCTGTGGGGGTAGCTACGTAATGATTGAAGTATATTTGTTTGAAGTCTATTTAAAAGCTTTAAGTCTTTGTACATGCTGGCTATTATTATCAATTATATTTTGTAGTCTTGCTTATTTGTTTGGTTTACCTAATGTTTTAAAAATCTTTCCCCCTCGTTTCACTCTTGTCTCATCATCCCCCCCACCCCCTCCATACCGGTAGGCTGCTGGGTGTGACTGGTTCTGGATTTTCTCTGCCTTGCAGATATTTCAGTAATCTCTTTTCATACAACTAGCTAATTTTGGATGTCCACTTTAGGACTCTTCACCCCTCAATTTGAGAGCACTGCAGAAAGAGATTTTAGCACTCCTGAAACAAGTGCTCTGCAGGTTCCAGATTTTACACAGAATTGGACAACTTTTTTTTCCTTTTAAGTTTAGCCCCTCTCTTTATTATCTGCTTCATTTAAACTGTGCTCCATGAAATGTCTTGAGGCAGAAGTGCATTCAGAGATCAAATGAATGAGGTTTTGCTTTTGTTCCACAGCTTTAAGGGTATATTGATCCAGTCCTTTGCTTAGACACAAGAGAGACCTTTTCATTTTTTTTTTCAATCCCCTTTTGAACTGTGTGTTGAGGAGCTCAGTATGGCAGAAGTGACCATATGACATTCGAAGTATTGCTTACTTGTAGTGCACTTTGGCAAGGAAGAGGAGGATGATATAAGATTAGTATACTACCTTTCATCTACCCACTGATTAGGAGTGAGCTTCAACTCAGCTGAGTAGGTATAACCGTAACCAGATCAAAACCAGATTTTACTTTCTGCTGATCGCCGTGCTATTAAAAAAAAAAAAAAGTCTCTGTAGGAGAAAGCCAAAAACCACACTGTCTGGGAGAGCCTAAAGTAGCAATAAAGCTGATGCTGCTTAGATATAATAAACAATGATCACCCCATATTGGTTATCTAACAATCGTAAAGGTGTTTTTGTTGTTGGTGGTGGTTGGTTTGTTTGTTTGTTTCTTGTAAAATTCAGAGCAGAGGGATGTTGATAAAAAGGGATTTTAGAGAGGACAATGAAGTGTTTTTGCAGATGTCTATGGGAAACTCATTCAATGGAGGGAGGAAAGAGGGAGCAGCATGGGATAGTGTGAGTGCTTGTTGGAAAATGTTAAGAGTAAGCAGTGAACTCTAGCATTAGTAGAGCAAAGCTCGAACTCAGTCAATGGACTACATAGAGACCTGTTATAAAGGGTATTGCTTTGTTTTATGCAGTACGCAAAATAAGAATCAGTTGAGAATTGTCAAGGTCATAAAAAGCTGGCAGTTGTCAAGTCATGGAACAGTGAGATCTTGGAAAGCATTTCAGCTATACACTTTGAAAGACTGAGGTCTAAAAATATTGTACAAAAGAAATATATTAGAGACTACCCCTTTGTGAAGCCCTAAGAGAGACGGGACAATGGCAATGCCAAATAGTTGATTTCATGGTAGTAGTGTCGACAGACACTGAGGGAGGAGGTGGTTCACGCCTGAGTTCAGCCTATGCCCCGAGCTTAGGATAAAAGCTGGCATCCGCAGAAGGTAACAGACAGAGGACCTGAGAGTTTGCTTTGGGCGGAGGAACCGCCGGTCAGCGATGGGGGAGTCAGGGCGTCACCGTGACGTATGTGTCCATTCTGTCGTGCTCGGGAAGGAAGTGTTCTCTGAACAGCATAGTGTGTGGGTGGAGAAAAGACTGGTCTCCTATAGAAACCTTTCAGATCATAAGAATGGAAACGGAGGGCGTTTCAAATGAAATATTGGTAGAGTTGGAAGAAAGTGAAGGAGAAAACCTGCTAACCAGGTCTTTCTTGCTGCTAAATGTTCTCAGTATCTACCTATACTATACTCTAGGATACATGCCTTTTTTAATGCTTTCATTAAGCTAACTTTTGTATTTCAAACAACTTTAAATTGACTTAATTCCTCCTTTTGACTGAACAGACGTTAAAAGTAAACAGGAACATTGGTTTCCCTTTCATAGTTTTAATTTTGGAAGGAGAAACTGTTCATAGTCTGAACTGTTATTCAAGGACAGAATTCATTCTCTTCGCAGAAAACGAGGGTAGCGCTGCTGCTGTTCAGATGTTTGTGCAGAAACCTCCAGAGAGGGCAATGAGCTTGTTCTCCCTTTCGCCTCTAGCAGTATACGGGCAGGCTGCAGATTCAGCCTTGTCATAGGGTCTGCAATAGCAGTTCCTCATCTCCTATGTGCGGCTGCTGAGCTGCTAAATGAAGATAATGGATCCCACAACCTACTTCATAAACAAGCATTACCCGACAGCGTGCTTGGGGCCCTGCTGGCGTTCCTGCCCGTAGTAAACGGGATTTACTAGCAGCCTAACGGTGGTTGTGCTTGCGCTCCCTGATTTGGGGTTGCCTTGCGCTCAAAGGCCGTGGGTGGAATCAGGCTGGTTCTTCTCCCGTGGGGCGAACGTCTCCCTGAAATGTAAAGGCACCGCGCTGTCGTGCGTGTGCAGCCAATTACACCCCCTGCTTTTCCTGGCCACGCAAAGATTGCAGCACGATTAGTCACTGAACAATAGCTGAGGGAGACACAACCGCGTTTCGAAAACCGTGAGGAAAATCACTGTGTGTGACTGCTTACTAAGATTATTCTGGCAATTGGATTTTCGTTTGTTAGGAATATTTCATCCCTATAATGGGGAGGAGAAGGTAGGGAGAGGACCTACACCACTCTCTCCTTCCCCCCCTCCCCCCCACCGTTAATGAGGATGTTCCTTAAGCTGTTTTTCCCTATAAGTTGCTTCATAGATGTTGAAAGACCACTTACATGACTAATGGCTGTGGGAATGGGCCGTTGTTCTTGTATTGGCACAGTCAGAAGGACTGCTCGGTGAGGGTCAACGGAGCGGAGAAGGGGCAGGGGAAAAGCCAAGGCAAGAGCTCTGTTTGCAGCTGTCGTCTTGAGTATCCTTGCTGTTGGGGTAAAAGCGTCCTTATTACCAGGCATCTTTGTATCATAACCACTGGAAGGGCACTAAACCTGGGATGAGCACCAGTATTGTTTTAGTTACGAAGATTGTTATGTTTCAGAATATACTAACCAATTGGTTTGGGAATTCATCCATAAAAAGTAAACGTTAAGGTATTTGGTTATTATTATACAGTATAAAAATATTGTGCTGGATGGCTAAGCAGTTACTAGGACAACAAAGGGGAGTTTGCCAAGGATTTTTAAACACTGTGAGCGAACGGAAGAAACCTTGAGTTTAAATAGCCCATCTGGCCTCCTTAGGCCCTCCCGAGAGGGCTGCGCTAAACTTCTGCCACATATATTGTACCCTGATGATAGACATAGCCCATGGCAAAGCAACGGAGCTGGGAAAGCAAATGGACTTCTGTGGAAAATACACAGGGGAGGACCACATGCTGCAGAGCGCAGGAGCGCCGGCGGAGCGTCCCGCGCGTCGGGGCCGCCCGCTCCTCCCAGCAGGTTCCAGCGTTCTTCCTAGGCTGCCGGAGGTTCCCAGCTTTAATGTGGGTCCTCGCTCTTTGCAAAATAGACCTTTGACCTGCAATTTACAGCTTTTATCACGTTTAAAAGCTACTTGGTTGGCCAACTTGTTGCAGTAAAACTTGCGTGTTTCATAAAGGTTCTTATTTTCGTGTGAGTTCAGCTAATGCAGGAACAGCAACTCTATGCCATCCCACAGCTGAGTATTTTAGGAAAGGAAAAAAAAAAAGGCGAAATTGAAGTATATTAAAAGCAACTTTAGGCCTTTAGTGCTGGGTGGCCCAAAGAGAAGTTTCTGAGAAACCTGCTTCATGTTTGTTACGGTCTAGGAGACCCCTGCCCCTCCTCCATAGGAGCCAGTACTGACCATAAGATGAAAGAGAGAGGTCTGTGTGTTAGTATGTGTGTGTCTTTGTCTGAGAGGGAGAGATGCTGACTGGCATGTAATTACTTTTCTCATTTGCTCTTGCAAATTATTTGCCAAACATTCAGTGGAAAGATAATGTATTCATCCAAAAAAGTTCTTTTTTTTTCCCCCCCTGCCTTGTAACTGTGAGATGCCTTTTATATCTTTTTAGAGTGGTTCATACCACCTATAAACATTATGTTTGAATGCATTACTGCATCACTCAGAAATAATTACAGAAATGAAAAGAGACACAGTAACTTACATTTTTCCAGCCAAAGCACTCTTAGAAATAAAATAGCATTTCAAAGTTTTGCAATTTAAAATATTTTTCAGCTGTATTCTGGCTCTGGGGTTTGTTATAATAAAAAAATAACATCTGTTTTCCAATTTTAAATTAAATTTAAAACAACATGTTTTTCTCATTAGTACTATTTATCTGTACTATCTGCTAAACTTGGATGTCAACTCTTCTGCTGAAGTAATTTGGTTTTAGTCCACAGGATTAGTAGCATCTATCAACAACCACAGAACTTCAGCACTAATAGCAAATAGAAAAGAAATGTTTACAGTCATTATCACGCGTTAAGTTTAAGCCTCACTTTTTTTTTTTTTTAACTCCCACTGCTGTCAGACACACTTCAACTCCTACTCTGAGGCTTAAGCTGTGTATGTTTTTAGTAACTTTTGCAATCAAAGCATTTAAATAGTTTTCCTTCTGACTTCTTATAGCTAGGATGCCTTTTTTTTTTTTTTAACTCCCACTGCTGTCAGACACACTTCAACTCCTACTCTGAGGCTTAAGCTGTGTATGTTTTTAGTAACTTTTGCAATCAAAGCATTTAAATAGTTTTCCTTCTGACTTCTTATAGCTAGGATGCCTTTTTTTTTTTTTAATTAGAAAAGTAAATGGCTCTCAAATGTCCTTTAGGGGTTGTACTAAGCATGCAGCTCTGCATTCCTTGCAGCTTGGATTTGCAAGAAACATTGCTTTTCTAAATGTATCACCATTTTGTAGGATTTGGGTGTTAATGGAGTTGTGTTGGGCATATCAGAGAATCAGTGAATCTGTACGCCTGACTCCCTATTGATTTTCATCCCTGTCAGTGCCTTTGCCTCCTTTGCTCACCTCCAAGCTTTTGCTGCCAAGATCTCAGTATACCGTTGTACTAAGGTGGGCCTCAGCGGAGAGGGAGGCTGTAAACAAGCAGCACGCTTTAATGCGAGTTTCTCGCTCCCTGGTTGTCTCCTGCTGCAGGAGTTCAATAGGTTGCCTCAATGCAGACTTTCGTGTGGCTTTATGCGGTTTCACCCTGTGCATCCATATGTCTCAGCTGGTAGCTGTGTCGCTCCTGGGTTATAACCAACGAGGGCGAAACAGCTGAAAGGGGGTTGCTGCCCTTTTGTGGAACAGCGTCTCAGGTTAGATATTAAACGAGACCCATCTGTCTATTTTTGTCGGCGTGCGAAGGGGGGCTGCGAGGGGAGGAGAGAGGTGAAGACAGTAATTCAGTCTCTGTGCTAAATTCAATTTTTGGTCTCGCTTCTAAGAGAGGTACTCTTCTTCCCTTGTGTCATGCCTGGTAGACCCTATCAGAAAAGGAGGAGGTCTGTGGCCCAAGGCTGTCCGTGATCGATTAGTGAATCCTAATGGCTTCACAGTCGGACGGAGTTTTTCAGCGCAGGGAATTAAGACTTTTCCCGTTCCTTTAAAGCGCTGCAGTTCAGTGGTAAGAGAGGTCCCAATTCTGGATGGTTGTAGGAGGAACTGAGCCTGTGGGCATCAGCGAGGGGATACAGCATCTCTCGGGGAAAAAGCTCGCAGTTATTGCTAAACAAAAAATGCGAGTGTAAAAACGCTCATTACCCCCACGATGTTGGGTATAACTCGGAGGGGCAGGAAGCTGAGGAGGGCAGAATACCTGGAACCTGACGGGCAAAATGTGCAGTCACATCTGAGGTGGCTCTGAATCCTTGTCTAAATTTCAAGTTGCCATAAAAGTAGATTTCCTTTTTATTGAAATAACAAAAAACAGGGTTTGAGAACAATGAGCGATCGCTTTCCCTGAACTGATGTGTTATACAACTGATGACAACGAAATCGGTCAACATATGGGAAATATTATAAATATGCCATATCCTTATGATATAATTGCATGATGGAAGTTATTTTCCAATACTATGTTTTAGTAATTCACATAATTTTTCATTTAATTTCAGGCAGCAGTTTTACAACATCATCAGGAATATATGCAGGAAATAATTCACTCACAAATTCTACTGGATTTAATAATTCACAGCAGGTAAATTTGTAAATATGAGTTAAGGAAACTTTTGTAAACTTAGGCTTCTCATTTATTGAAAAAAATGTACTTGTTAAATAGCTCTTTGTAAGAAATTAGCATAATTTCAAGCTAAATGAATGTTTATAAATGTTTTTCTTCAATTTGTCATCTTCCAAAAGAAAGTTAATTGTTGGAGTTTTATGTTCTAATTTATGCATCTTAAGTATATGTCTAATAAGCTATTTGTATGAGAAGATATGCTAAGTTATGTGTAATTTAGATTTACTTTTACTGCTTTGCAGTTTTAGTCCTACAGCATACAGTCTGGAAAGCATACGTGCTGAAAGTCTGACATATGTTTGCAGTTATATTTTGGAATTTATACTAAAAAGTAGCAAAACTTTGATAGACTATTCAATCGCTTTTTTTGTCTTGCAGGAATATCCCTCTTATCCCAGTTTTGGCCAGGGCCAGTATGCACAGTATTATAATAGTTCGCCGTACCCTTCCCATTACATGACAAACAGCAACACCAGCCCAACGACACCCTCCACAAATGCAACATACCAGCTACAAGAACCACCATCTGGCATCACCAGTCAAGCGGTTACAGATCCTGCAGCAGGTAATTACATGGATTTTATGGTCCCTATGAGGCACGTTTTTGCAAGTTGAAAGGGGTTTCGATTGGATTTTTTTTTTGTTTAGTCGTTCATTTTTTTATTATTATTATTTCTTAATCCTGAGTCTGTGGCACGTCTTGCACAAATTCTGGTAGAATATAGACTAAAGAAAAACGGAAATTAGTAAAAATTTAAGGTTTGTGCAAAGTGTGAGTTGTTTGTATTGATTTGCAAAACCTTTTTGTTAAAAGTTGCAGGATATGGGAAAGTCTTCACACCAAGCCAAACCTGACACTTTTAAGCCCTATCTCTTTTTAAAGATCAATTCCTCTGACTTTTCCTAAGTAAGGCTGAACTAGACTATAGTCCGTCGACTATAGCTCTCTCAAAAGAGAGCTTTTATATATTTCACTTTCAGAGGACATAATAATGCTTGTAATGGGTAGTTGAGTTTGCACAAACGTTTCCATTTTAAGAAAAGATTTTTGGTGGCTTGTATTTTTTCCCAGTCGTTTTACCTTTCTTGCTGGAATTTGGCAGTCCTTTACTAGTTGAGATATTTTTTTGAACATTTAGGCCAAACTGCTCCAGCTGTCTTTTGGAAATGAAGGGTGAAAAATACCTTTCCCATTATTTAAAAAAAAAACAAAAAACAAAAAAACAGTTCAAGCATGCCAGGAGTTAGTAGATGGCAGAAATTTGAAATCTGTCAACGAGAAAGTACTAGGTGCATATGTGTTTCTCAGTAATGTGGTAAAAAGCAGTTATGATTTGGCAAGGTTATGACAAGGTGTTGTTTTGGGGCTTTGTTGTTGGGGGTTGTTTTTATTTTTTCCCTTTGAGTACTTTACAGGACCTGTTGAGTATGTGCAACATGAGCTTTGGATATAATTTGTTAGCATTTTGTTTTTCTGCATGAGTGTGTTCCTGAAGAAAATGTACGGTGTTGTGTCTTTTGATACATTTGGTGAAAGTAAATGTGGAAGAAAAGGCAGACTCTGTATGTGTGTGTATATGCATACAGTCATATATATGTACATCAGTATATTTGAGAAGGGAAGCTTTTTAAATATGTGAATGCATAGTTATTCTGCTTTTCATTTTGTTTTTAGTTTTTTGTTTGTGATTTTGTTTGCTTTTTCATTTGGAAGCAATAAATTCCTCTTACTCCAAACAAACAAATGCGGTGAAGTTTTAGGTGTTACCAAGATGACTAAAGTTTAATTACTGTATCATATGGGTCTTGATTTTTTTTTTCAATTTTTTATTTTTGTTTGGCAAAATCTTCTTTCATATATATGTATGTATACATATATATATATGTATATGTATGTATTTTTAAAAACTCTTTGATACTTTCTAAAAGCAAAAGAAAAATTATGTATGGGAAGAGGAAGAATATTTCCCAAGCTCAAACTTAATAGCTGAGTCAAAGAGTGTCTTCGTATTTAAATAGCTTTCTCTGTGGAAAACACAAGAATGTGTTTTTGTGTGGAAAAACACAAGCCTGCACAGGGTTTTTCTATCTGTTCCTTTTTAAGAGGTCGGTCTTTTCTCCCTCAGATCTGCTAAATTCTTATTAAGAAAGTTTGGTTCAAAAACTTGAATAACTTGGCAGGCTTTCTCACGGGTGGTTCCTGGACCTAAACCCTCTTCTAGTTTGTGTTCTCACATATGTATTGAAATCTATACATATGTTGGTGCCTTACCACTGCTCCACTTACACATACCCCCGCCTTTTCCACATGCACATCTAGTCTTACATTACTGGGACTGGCATCTCTGTCCTTGAGATATTTATGTTACTGATATAATAATTTTGAAAATTTCCTTCTAATTGTTTGCAAATAACAAGTCTTACTGTGTCTATGACTACCAGAGAAGGGCACGTTTGGGAGAGTACCTCCTGTGGACCACTCTCCATTAGCAGGAGCAAAGTAGGAGCGAAGCTGTGTTTCTCTTCTGCTTATTGATGTGGAAACGGTTGCAGAAGGTGCAGGGTTAGGTTCAGGTTTCCCCATTTGTCTTTACGCAACTAAATGAGTCACCTAAGTTAAGAACATACCCTCAGTGGAAGGAGATGAGCACCTTTAGAGCAGTATGTAGAGTTGAGTTTGAGTACATTCTTAATCCAGAGATGCCAAAGTCTTTCCACTGGTATGGAAGGCGCTTAAGCTCATTGACCCACCAGTGTTATGTTCCTAGGTTAAAATTAGGTGGGAAGAATATAGCATCTTTCTGTGCCTCTCAAACCTTGAACCCTGGAAGAGGAGGAACGAAGAACCAGTCAGTAAATGCAGAGTGGTGCCTGGTATTTTCCCTTGGACAAAGTATTTTTTTTCACTTTCTTGCTCAGTAGAGCTTTGGTTTATACAAACAAATATATATGTGTGCATGTGTGTATATACATACACAGTATTTTTAAAACAACTTATTTGTGTTTACAAGTGTGACAGGTCTTTTAGAAAACAAAGGAAATGTTGGTGATCTTCCAAAATAGATCTTTCTTTCTAGATTTGCAGAGTTCCTGTTTGCACTGCAAGCATATACAGACGTTGCTTATTTTTTACATGGGTAATTTCAAGATGATCAGCTTTGTCACATGGATAAAGCTAGTAACAATTTAATAAACTGTAATCTGAAGTGAGGCTTTGTTGGGTTGGATGTGTTAGCATTCCTTTGGGTGCTACTGTATTGAGTATAGGCTGTGAGGGGGAGCTAAAAGCAAGGACTGAGTCAAAGAAAAGGAGGAACAGCACAGAGGAAGACAGTTCTGATGGCATGGGGACAAGTGAAAGGCACGTTAGAGTGAAATTCACAGTTGGATCAAAAACGGAACAAATGAGCAAATTAACCAACTTTTAGCAGTGATTAAATTTATTACAATTATGCAGATTTCTATGTTACAGTAATTCAGATTTCTTAGCATGTCTGGTCAAGTTAGAATGACAATTCCCTTCTTTGCTCCACAATTTGAACTCTGTATATGAGGGATGGTGGAAAGCAGTGCAGGGCTATCATGTTTGACTGTTATACCCCTTTATTAGGATGGACTGCAGCTGCCGAATTGCAGCTGTTCTTACTAGATGCTGATATTCCTAGACATCTTTTATATTAAATATATATACATATATGTATATGTATGTGGTTCTGAACTATGCCAGGACAAGCATAGAACAGCCTTCAGACTTTACAGAGACACCAGAGTCATTTCACAGTCATTGGTGGTTCCTGTGAATTTAGCCAGTAAGTGAAACAGAGCAATCTGTTAAGGAATATGTGAAAAGAAAGAAAGTAATTATGGGCTCTTGTGATATTCTAGGAGAGTTCTGCAGACTCAGAAGTCTCAGATAGTTTTCTTTATGTTCAATTCCTTGTCCAAATATAAAGTAATCCTTTAATGGTTTCCCACAGTCCTTAGTTAAAAAAGCAAGTTTTTCCTATGCAAAGGGTGTCCAGGTTTTCCAGGATGCCCAGTGATACTTGCAGAAATGCTTGCAGAAGAACCTGAGATTTTCCATGCTCAGTAGTTCTTTCTCTTCCCCTTGAGGGTCTGAAAAAAGTCATTTTGCATACCTCAGTTAAAGCATGCATGTTTCAGTATGATTTGGAGAGAAGTTTCTGCACTGAGAATAGCTTTGCCCTTGAAGATTTCATGACAAAGACTTCTGATTGCGCAAAGGTTGGTAGTCCCTTTCTGCTAAATTAGCTGTGCCTTTCTTTATTTTCTACAGAAAGCTGTAATTTTGCTAGTCAAAATAGAAATAATCAGAAAACTATTAAATAAAATGAAACTTAGTATGATATCTTTAAGATTTATAATGTACTCTGCTTCAGATTTCACAGAACATTTTATTATCAAAAGTAAGAATTTTTAAATGTTTTTTTCACTTGTGAAATTCTAACTTTTGCTTTACAATAAAAAAAATTTATTTCTTCAGAATAACAGTATAATATTAGTTTTCTTCTGGGATGAGCTTTCAATCCGTACTTGAGCGGATCATCCCTGGTATGAGCAGCGAGTTGCTGATTCAGAACACAGAGGCGTGAAGATTCTTAAGTCATCGTTTGAGCTGTAGTATGTAAGACATGCAATAACAACTAAACAACAAAAAATCACGGAAATTGGCTAGTGACAATAATTCACTATCCCTTCCAATGCTAAAACAGGAGGACAGTTAGTGAAAGTAGATTCAGAGCAAATAAAAGGCAGTATTTCTTCATGCTGCGTGTGGTGCAGCTGTGCAGCTCCTTGCTGCAGGGTTTTCTGGAGTTTAGGCAGGTTTGAGCGTTACGTAGACAAACTCATAGATTAGGCATACACAGATATCAACTTTCATTCAAGAAGTACTTGATACAAAAAAATCACTGGAGATGCAGGATGAATTTGCACTACATGTCTTTGTCCTGTTTGTGTCCTCTTACGGTTGAAATTTATCCCGGAGTAGATGGAATTTTTCCCTAATCCATTATGCCAGACCCTGTGTTCTAAAATGATGTGAGGAACATCCATAATAGTATTTCTAAGAGTTAATGAAGAAGATGACTATTTTTTTCTAAAGCTTTAATAATTTTCTCTTGCAATACGTCACCTCCATCATCACAGCTGCTAATAATTTTTTTGATTTGTGCAAATTTTGGTTTGGAGATATAATCAACAAATCCAAATTTATCCTTTTGTTTTGTATGAAGCTGTATTTATGATTTATTAAATTGATTTTCTTGCAAGAGATTTGCATTATTCTTGAGTTTTTATCTCTCTATTTTCTTAATTTCTATAATAAATATGTTTAGAATATTACTGAAAGGTTTTTTTTCATATTACATACTTCACAATGCAGATTAAAAACCCTACAAGAACTGTTCTAGCCAACAAAAGTTGTTCTCAGCCATGGGTCATCATTTTGCTCTTATAGGCTAAACTACCTTTTCCTCAAACGCTATATCACATTTAGTATTGCAGAATGGAGATCTGCTTTTACACTTTCTCCTTACCATATTT